CCTCTCCCTGGTTTTCTGTGAGCCGCCCTGAGTCCCCTCAGGGAAAAGGGCGGCCTACAAATGCTAATAATAAACCACCAGCCTGCTGGGAAATACTGAAAAGAAACGATTTCCCCCAGAAGTCCCTCTTACTATGTTTTCAACCATGCCATATGCAGGGGCCACGAAGGACATGGGTAAAATGTTGGGAGGAGAAGAGGAAAAAGACCCCGATGCCCAGAAGAAGGAAGAAGAACGACAAGAAGCCTTACGTCAGCAAGAGGAAGAGCGCAAGGCAAAGCATGCCCGCATGGAGGCTGAACGGGAAAAGGTTCGGCAGCAAATCCGTGATAAGGTGGGTCACCTTCCTGCCATTTTCCAATTGCTGCATTTTTTCAGACTATAACACACACTTTTTACCCCCAAAAGAGCCCCCCTGCCGCAATATTCCCTTTGTGCATCTTATAGAGCAAATATTGCTGCATGGGGAGAGGGGGGGTTTGTGCAGTGCCAATCAACTGTTCTAGGTGGTGGGGGTCACCGCTGCCTATCATTTCCGCAGCCACCCATTCTCAGAGATCAGCGGCAAACAGGTGGTGGCCAATGGGCCGCAGTGGTGGCAAATAGGCGGCAGAGGCAGATTTTTTTTTTTCGTTTTCCTCCTCTAAAAGTTAATGTGCGTCTTATAGTCCGAAAAATACGGTAATCTCTCCGTCACTAAGATCTTGGGGTGGTTTTAAAGAAATGGCAAGAAAAGGATAGTGGGTAGGGAGACTTAGCTTTAGGAAACTGGAGAAGTGGTTATTCTTGATCATGATGGCCAAGACTTGGCTTCTTTTTTTAAAAGTACAAAAACTCAGTTTTGAGAAGCCACGCAGTCTAACCTGAATTATTTGAGAAGTGCATTGATTACCCAGAAAAATTTGTATCTTTTAGCGGTTGTTGTTAAACTATAATTCTGAGTGTCTCTCCTACTGGGCATCCATGAAGGAGCAAGAATTGAGGGGAATATAATTGCTTCAGACATCATGATGTCATTACATAAACATGCCGTTTTCATGATGATTTCATAATCAGTGTCGTCATTTTGACTTCTTCATGCCTTGTTATAGAGGCCGCCATTCCTTATTATTAGCCATGCATCAGCTGCTGGGGGTTGTACTTCAATGACATCTGAAGATGCAGTAATGCTACCCTAAGGCTTGACATTTGGATGGCCACTCCAACTCCTTCATGCATCAACTTTTTAATAAAGGAAGAAAGAGAGCCAGAAATACTGTCATATAACTATGTCATATCTAATGTAGCCTTCCCATGGCATTGGGTGTCTGTCTAGCACAGGCTAGAGCAATTACAGGAGATGGGAATATTGCAAAACTCAATAGATAATATCCCTTACAGATCCAGCATCTTGGACAGTTATCTACAGCAGGAATGGAGATCTTCCAGTCCATGGGATAAACCCTTCCTAGTTGCTCCATCTAGCCCTTAGAGACCCAAGCCAGGTCCCTCTCCTTCCTTGAACCCCCTGGTCTCTCCCTGAAACCCTGCCCCACCCCCCATCTGCCGTCCCACTGAAGGGCTGCAACTTCAGGTCTCTATTGCACTTGAAATGTGGCTTCCCCAAAGGGGAACAATGAAGATTGGGCAAAGATGGCACCTGGGCAGCCAGCACCTGAAGGTAAGAATATAAAAGTAGCCTGCTGGGTCAGACCGAGGCCCATTTTAGTCCAGCATTTCCATTCTCCACTAGATGTCCACGGGGTGCAGCCAGCTACACCCAATTCACTGCCCTGTGCTTTGGGAAATGCATGAATTCCTGAACAACTGAATTCCTGAAAAATACCTTCAGGGATGAACTCCTGGAAAGGGCTTCTGGCACCTGGAAATGATTCCTCCCCAGGAACAGGGTAGCATCCAGAAAATGGGAAGGGAAACACACAGTGGTGGGTTCCGGGCAGTACAGCCCGGTACGGGTGTACCGGTGCTAGCTGGGAGCAGCGGCTACTGTACCAGAAAGGTGGGCCATTTGGCCTCCCTGCCCACCCGCGTTCCTTACCGCTTTTTTGAGGCAAACGGGCCAATTGTGCACACGCGCACAGCGTTTGGTGCCTGGCTAACTTTCGCCGAGCAGCTGAGTGTCGCTGGGCGGTGGCGTGCGCATGCCCGGTGAGGACACCTGGCCCCATCGCAGTGTACCGGTTGCAACGGGATCCAGAACCCACTACTGCGGGAAATCATCTGCTCCCTGGTAAGGGATCGAATCCTGTTTTTCTCCTTGATTGACAGCATTATGCCAGCAGGATGACCCTGCCTATTGAGAACAAAGCCTCACAGCTTTGTCCCTCTTCACCGAGGGAAAGTGAATTAAAGCAACAAGGTCTCTTGCCATGAGCCCTTGAATCTATTTGTATCCCATTGGAACATTGCTTGTTCCTCGCTGCAGTCGTTCCAGGTGAATGAAAGAGAAACCCATCTGCACACAACACGTTTACACTCATTTACCTTCCAAACATTATTCCTTCTTTTCTTTCTGCAAAGAACAGCCTCTTCTCTGTAGCTCTTATTCCAGGGCCAGCTATAATTATTTAAAGAGCTTCTATTGGAGTCCAGCAACTAGAGTTGAAGTGGTCTCTGCCAGGCCATAAGATTACCATCTTAGAGCTCCTTTGATGTGAACTTCTGTTGTTGCTGTTGATAATCCTTAAATGTACTAAAGCTGGCCAATATTCAGCTTCTTGATGTTAAGAGAAAGGGCGTTTTCTGCTATTAGCAACAGTCATTCATTCAGCTGCATGCTAAACTCACTGATTCAGTGGCCATCCACTGTTCCTTTTTACATATATATTTTTCCTTTTCTTTTAGTTTTCCTTTTCTCATCTCCAGAAGGCAGAACTATGAGGGCACTCCTGGAGAAGTGATAGCCTTTTCAGCAGAGTGATACAGTATGATCCAGCCTAACTTCCAGGCTGGCTCTCCCCTGAGATTATATGCACTTTCTCATGAATGATTTTTCTCTGACTCCCATTTCTCTATTTGCACTGCAGCAAGAGGAAAATCATTCATAAAGATTTATGAATGATTTGCACTGTAGCAAGAGGAGAATCATTCATAAAGATTTGGAGTGTGGTCTCAAGGGGCATGTAAATTTAATAAATGGATGAATAGCCTTTGGGCCAGGCGTGAGACATCAAATCCTGCACTGAATCTGGGTGCTGGTAGAGTGTTCTTTGGCATCCTCCTTTGCTATTTTCTTTCCCTCAGTCATTCCTCTCCTCTTGGCTCATTTGTCTTGTAAAAGGATAATATAGGGCACAGGAAATAACTAAAATTCAGTCTCTGTCATCTGCCTTTTTTAAAACCTTAAAATTAAGACAGCAACGGCTGAGCATAAGCAGGTTGTGCTGTCCCCTTAAATAATTATGCAAAGATGGGAGAATTTGAGGCAGTGCGCTTTGCTCTGTCTTCGATGTATCTGCCCTTTTTTTGCTTTTAAAAGTATTAATACCTGGCTCTGCTTTACAAACAGTGAGCTCAATGAAGACAGACTCCAATTCATCACAAGTTTTGCCTATTCATTCATTTCCCTAATATCTTTTAGGCCAGTTCTCATTCTGTGGCACCAGGGAGAACCAGCACTGATACGATTACTCCATCAGTCTTCTGCATAGTTTGAATGCTGAGAAGACTGAAGTGCTCCTATTGAGCTCTTCCATAACAAATCCAGCTTGGGAAAAAATGGTTGGATATCAAAGCTGATACCAGAAAGAATTAAAGGGAAATTATCCCAGCTGTAGGAAGCAATTATGAGAGGAGAGGGAAATGTTATGCAGGCACATAGCACCTTCAAATGCTTTAGCCAGATGTGCAGTGTAGAACTTACACTATTTAATCCTATTTACCAACATGGGGCCTTAAAGTCATGTCAAACTACAACTCTCATTGCCTAGATCCAGCATATTCATTTGACATGCTAGCTATGGTTATTGTAAAACATCCTTAACTGAGTCGGCAAGGAAGTTACTTTCTAAATGAATGAAAAAGCATAAAATACTTTTTCAGATTTTCCATTAACGTGAAAGGTAAGCGGTTAGTGTTGCCTCTGATTTCATTCAGGGTCCATGTGTTGTTCCAGTACCTAGGGAGACATCTAGAGTCTGCCTTAGCTTAGACACTAAGGGAAATACATAAAGTCAACAGAAGGTGCAGTTTTTGTCTCACAATTATCAGTAAATTTAAAGGTCTTTTCTGTACAGTTCCAGATTGTAACCCTAAGAACAGACTATCACTATGGAAGCAGCTGATGTCATTTACTGGAGCAGCTGGTTAATCTTCAGAAGCCTCAGTGATTAAGTTAGTGCAATCTTAATTTAAGACACCTATGACCCAAGGCCCAATGGTGTTGCAGTCAAGATCTACCTTCTCCTGCATTTCTCTGAGAAGTCTTGTGTGTTTCCCCCACATAGTACGGCCTGAAGAAAAAAGAGGAGAAAGAGGCAGAGGAGAAGGCAGCCCTGGAACAGCCCTGTGAGGGGAGCCTGACACGACCCAAGAAAGCCATCCCAGCCGGCTGTGGAGATGATGACGATGAGGATGAAGAGAGCATTCTGGATACGGTGCTCAAGTATCTGCCAGGTCCATTGCAGGACATGTTCAAGAAGTAGCTGCCATACCAGCCCAAGTCCCACCCAGAGTTTCCAACATTCAGTTGAGGCTTCTGGGTGGTGAAGGGACTTTCTTTTGGGGTTTCATGGGGCATTTTCCTTTCCAGTTTTTGTTTCAAGGGGAGACTTCACACACGTCTTTGTGCCACAGGCCTTTCCCAGGCCTTCTTCTCGGTCCCCAAGAGAAGCACATCAGGCATGGGACGTACTCCCTACCCTGCCCCTTGCTATCATCACTCTAGGCTGCTGGATTCCTTGGAACCACAGGCTGGGCACTGCCAGGAGTTTTATCTCCTTCCCCTCCCCTGGGCTTTCCCTTCCTGACACAGAGCTGGAGTGGACTTCTGTGGTGCCAAAGGGCCAGCTGACTAGGAAGTCAAAGCAAAGCAAAAACAAATGGGAACTGGGACCAAATTCAATTACGCAACCTCATGGGGTTTTGGAGGAGGAGGCACCAGAGGGAGGCCAGGCCCCTGCACAATCCTCTGAGCCCGCCTCCTTCCCCCATATTCCTTAACCCTGTGCTGACTGCCAAACAGAGATTGTGGCCTGTAAATCTCTGTTCTTGCCTAATTCATGGGGGCCAAGGTAGCCCCTGCACATTCCATCTCTGACCAAGGGAAGGACCAGTTGGATACACACACACACACACACACACACATCCCAATCCTTGCTTTAGGGCAGTTGGCAAATCATAGTCTTGTCACATCCTTGGGGAGGAAGAGCTCATTCCTGAAAGGAATCAAACTCCTACCACAAGCCTAGCATGGAGGCCCACTGCAAAGAATTGTGAGTTACTAGTAGACAAAAAAAAACCGTGGGTTGCTTAGGGGGCCCTTAGATGATTTTTCCCCTTCCATCGTCCAGTAGTAGTATTTTATTGAAAAAAAAATTCTCTAGCTGACACACTTGCAGACTTTTAGAGTAAAAAGACAAAGCATGAAATCACACTCTCCTTCCCATGCTGCAGAAAGTGATAAATGTGGAGATTGGTTTAAAGGTCAACTGACCAAAAATGAAGACACTTGAGGAAACGGGATGCATTCACGCATTCGACCAAACATCCCTGCTTTCTTTAGGAGGTTGTAGGAATGCCCTGCACTAACACTTATAGAGAGAACAGCACATCCTCTCAAGCCAGGGAGTTTTGGTTGTCTACTAGACCAAAGGGTTAAAGCCAGTAAGCCTATCCCTGTCATACGTATCCTGATCCTAGGACGCTGATAATCTCTTTCCCAATGGAAACATAATGGCCCACCCAAATATTAGCAGAACTGTTCTTGCATCCAAGGTAGAAATTGTTTCCTTTTCCTCTTTCATCAAGTGTCTAGAAAGACTACAGCCATGCATACCCAGATACACATGCTGATTCCCAAGGGTGGGTCCTTCACGGTCTATGAGAAAAACTTCCCACTTTTCAATATCTGCAGCCCAAGGTGGCCTGGGAGTGTGGTGGACACCCAACCCACACCCCAGCATACGCCAGTAGCTCCCCTTCACTGCACAGTTGTTGCATTCACTCCGTGGCCGATTCTCCCCATCGTTTCTTCGAAGCCACAACATTACACAAAAAAAGAGGTGACTACGAGACAAGGAGGAAGCCTCGCTGCTGATTTGGCCTAGTGCCCTCTCCCCAGTACCAACAGTCCTTGGCCACTGCCGAAAACAAAATCAAACGTCCATCCTTCTATGGGGAAGTTTTGTAGTTTTCATTCTTGTGTTTATTTGGGAAGAAGGAAGGCCTGGATTATTTGGTAAATTTTCCTGGTACTCTGTCCCTTCTACTTTTGTTTGGGGATGGGGTCAAGTTTGAGTTTGGGAGTTATCTCCCTGCATCCAAAATACGCCATTCTTTCTTTCTTTCTATCCTTCCTTTCTTCCTTAATAGTTAAAGCCATATCAGTTAGACTGCAATACTATCAACGCTAAAAACTCTGCAGGCTGCGCTCTGTCATGCTGTATAGAGGAGCGTCTTGGGGTCAGGGACCACCCCTTTATCCCCTTGCCTGCTTGTCTTTGTCTCTGGCCGCCCAACATGTTTTGCATAGGTATCTCTGTAACAGGGTAAATCACCCCAACACTTGTTATCTGTCTAATTGTCTCTGCTAGTCACTCATTAGATGGTCATCATACAGCCCCATGGAGCTGGGAAGAAAAGGTCCTCAGGCAAAATGAAAAGGGGACCAGGTTGAAGGTGGTAAGGGGACAGGCCATTAGCACCTGTTTCGTCAATATAATGTCAGCTTGTCTGCAGTCATCCCATAGGACAAAAGAGTGTGATTGTGAGAGTCCTGCAAAGTTTCATACTGGTTGAAACTCTGTGCCAGAATGGCAGGACTTTGCCAGGGGAACGCAAGCTGTTTATTGTCTACATAATCCTCCTGGGTGAATGTTGAAAATTGCAATAAATCCACTTTTCACATGGGGCAAAGGGCTGATGCTGAAGCCAGCTTCCCACACTATGGTGATGCTGTTGCTCTCAGTTGACAAAATCACCACTATACCCATTGTTTAGTATTTAGGCAGAGAGAAGTAAGTACCAGTAAGTCTCTGGACCCCACCAATCTGAGAACTCCATTCTGGGCAAGAACAAGAAGGAAAAAAAAAACCCCAAACCCACGTCTTAGAATACTGGAGAGACATGAAACAGCAATGCCCACAGAAATGAGGCAAAATGAAACCTAGCTTCAATATGTGTGAATAAGCCATCCTAGCCCCAATTTTGATTCCCTGTGATCTTTGACCTCTGATATTATCATGTCAGTGGGAGGAGCTGTGGGATGCGGTTTCCAGGTCATTGTGGTAGCCAGGAGAAAACCCTAATATTCTGCTTCGAATCTTACTTAATGGAGCTGGATCAGCTTCCAATTTGAATGCAGAGAATATATGTGTTGTATGTATGCATGCATGCATGCATGCATGCATG